ACCTTGTGGAAAAAGGATTTGAATCCAGGATTTCCTCCCTAGAAATCAAACCATTAGTCGTTCCTTATTGAGATGACCCCATACAAAGATAGGGAGATAGAATACAGAATTCTCATTTTCCCTTCTGGATTTAGAATTTTAGTTCACTAAAGGGGTGACTTGCTAACTGGTTTGCTGGTACCCTGAAAGAGTTAATGATTCTCCCAAGGTGGAAATTTCCTGGAAGGGAGAAATTCACACTCTGGGAAAATGTGGCCCAATATGTACAATATGATGAGCAAATGAGTTCTTTTTACCGAGGTGGCAAGGTTGATACATTATATAGCATCTTCTCTGAACCCTGTGGATAGCAGCATCCGTAAAATACAGTCAAAATAAACAAGGTTTTGAGTGTACGAAAAAGATAATCACATATCAGTTTACACATAGACATAAGCTTGTCTACTGTATTTGACTGTCATTGTTCGAGTTCTCAAAGAAGACGAGTCATACCCGAAGAGCAACCGTCTCAGCCACTAGCTTCATCATTTCAAAAACAGCTGTTTCCCTCTCTGATATCAGAAATATCACCACAGTTGGGTGGATCCCCTTCAGGAGGGAATCAATAGCTAGTCAAGTTCTCAAAAACTTCCCAGAAGTGCAAGAAGAAGGTCCACCTAGTGTATGAAGGGTGATGAGGCTGTTTTCACTCTCTTTCAAGATGGCTAGTCTAAAATATAATAAATTGTTAGAGAGTTGCTGGTGAAAGAGTGGTCAATACATTGGTGACGGTGGTCCAGCCTGATACAATTGTATGGTTTTCATGTTCTTAACATAAAAATGTTTGCCAAGCAAGTTAATAAAGTTATTATAATTTCAGAAGTTATATTAACCTACTTAAAATTATCAGGTGTTTAATGTGCGTAAATATGAAAACAAGTTCTAGTTGAAATGAATTATTTTTAATTAAACACCAGACCTGAAAATCTTTCTTTTTTCATTCATTCATTTACTCACTTGCCATATATTTATTGAGTAGCTTTGGCATCCCAGACCCTGTGTTTGATGCTAAGGATAAAAAAATTAATATCATATACTCTACTTTCAAGATCACTGTCAAGTGAAATGTATCTTGCACACACACACATACCCCCTAAAGTTAGACACGTACGTTGTGGTAATTATAACGGCAGTGATATGCCCAGGTAATAGAGAAGCATAAATGAAAGTAACATATCCATCCTGTGAAGGGAATAACTAAACAAATTATATAATACAAATAGAGTTCTCTAAGTGGAAATGAAAAGAAAGAACATTCCAACAAGTATGGACACTCTGGGTTCAAAGTGAAGAGAGGCAAGAGATGACTTTTGCCAGCTGGATCAGACAACAGTGAACCTTGTTTACCTGCTAAAGAGTTCAGATGTGAGCCACTACAAGGAATTGACAAGATAACCAAGTCAAATGCTTCTATTCATCTCCACCTTGTATTTTCAATAGCTGCTAGAGCTCTCTAATGGACACATAAGAGATGGGCTTAGCAGGACAAGCAATGATCCAAAAGACCAGTTTGAGTAAGAGATGCTGAGGTCTTTAATTAGGGCAGTGGTAGCAGGGATCTAGCAAAAAGGACAAATTCAAAAAATAATTAGATTAATCCACATGATCAAATATATGGACCATCCCAATATATACTCAACCACAAGGTTTTGTATACCATTTTAGAGTTTAAGTATTTTAAAGCTCATCCTAAGATTCTATGAATACTCAGTTAAGGATCCATTGTCTACAATAAGTTAAACTATGATGAATATCTGTAGAAATTAGTTGCAATCAATTTTTACTTGAAATTATTAAACTAGCATTGCTCTTAAGCACCTGATAATTAAAACTGGCCTACTCAGTGAAATTTTATTTTAAATATAGTTTCTTAGAAACAAAAGTATACTGCTTTCAAAAAAGGAAAGATATTCATTACCTCATCCTCACAAGGTACATAGAATCTTGTCATTCCTAAGATACAAGAGAAAACAGAAAACAATATATGAGGAGTCGGCCCCATGGCCGAGTTGTTAAGTTCGCACGCTCCACTGCAGTGACTCAGGGCTTCGCTGTTTCGGATCCTGGGCGTGGACATGGCACCGCTTGTCAGGCCACGTTGAGGCCGTGTCCCACATGCCACAACTAGAAAGACCTGCAACTAAGATATACAACTATGTACCAGGGGGGATTTGGGGAGATAAAGCAGAAAAAAAAAAATAAGATTGGCCACAGTTGTTAGCTCAGGTGCCAATCTTAAAAAAAAAAAAAAAAAAAAAACATGAAAAAGCTAAATGAATTTGGATGAGGCCGTCTATTCAGTAGTGTATCTTTAATACCTCGCTAATTGAGGACTTGCTATGGAGCACTTATGTATCTGAGTTAGTGGACACAGGTATTTCAAAATTTGAATCATAGGTGTCAATCCTATGAAATACAATTGTTTCCCACATCACATAATATATCTATTAATACATTTTATGATATAAGATTTGGAAATTATCTTCAAAGCCATGTTAACCAAACCTTATATTCTTAAATAGAAAAGTTATAGAATTCAAAGAAAGACAAGAAACAATATAGATGAGGATGTGAAGAAAAAGGACCCCTTGTGCACTTTTTGGAGTTGTAAATTTACACAGCCACTATAGAAAACAGTATGGAGGATTCTCAAGAAATTAAAAATAGAACTACCGTATGATCCAGCACTTCCACTTCTGGGTATATACCCAAAGGAAATGAAACTAGGATGTGGAAAAGGTATCTGCACTCCCATGTTCATTGTAGCATTATTCACAATAGTTAAGATATGGAAATAACCTAAGGGCTCATCAACAGATGGATGGATAAAGAAGATGTGAGATATATATCTATATATCTATATATCCATATGAATATTATTCAGCCATAAACAAGAAGGAAATCCTGTCATTTACAACAACATGGATGTATCTTGAGGGCATATTGCTAAATAAGTCAGACAAAGATAAATACTATATGATCTCACTTATATGTAGAATCTAAAAGAAAAAAAAATGCTGAACTCACAGATACAGAGAAAAGACTGATGGTTTCCAGAAGTTGGGGGGTGGGGAAGGGAAATGAGTGAAGGAAGTCAAAAGGTACAAACTTGCAGTTATGAGATAAATAAGTCCTGGGGCTGTAATTCGCAGCATAGTGGCTATAGTTAACATTACTGTATTGTATATTTGAAAGTTGCTAAAAGAAAGTAGATCTTAAAAGCTCTCATCTCAAGAGAAAAAACGTTGTAACTATGTGTGGTGATGGATGTTAACTAAACTTATTGTGGTAACCCTGTCAGTATATATACATATATCAAATCATTATGCTGTACACCTAAAATCAATACAGTGTTTAAGTCAATAATGTCTCAATTAAAAAAAGAAAAAAATTAGACAAAGGAACTGCCCCAATTGAGAGGTAGTCCACAGAAAGCCTGACCAGTATTCCTCACAATTGTCAAGGTCATCAAAGACAAGGAAAGTCTGAGAAGCTATCACAGTTATGAAGAGCTCAAGGGAACATGATAACTAAGTGTAATGTGGTCCCCTGAATGGAATCCTGGTACAGGAAAAGGACATTAGGTAAAAACTGAAGAAATCTGGTCAAAGTATGGACCTTAGTTAATAATAATGTCTCGATATTTGTCCATTAATTGTGACAAATGTACTAAAGTATGGTGAGATGTTAATAATATGGGACCCTTAGTGTGGGATATATAGGAACTGTCTGTAGTACTTTAGCAATTTTTTTAAAAAACTTATAACTATTCTAAAAAGAGTTTATTTTTAAAACTGCATATGGCTTTTGACCCAGAAATTCTGCCTCTAGGAATATTATTCTAAGGAAAAATTGAAAATGAGCACAAAATATTAAATATGGGTAAATTCATCTTTGCAGCATTGCAGAGGGCAGAGTAAGAAGACTAGAAAAAAGCCAAAAATCCTACAATAGGAGTCAGTTATCTAAACGATGGTACATCTATGGGTTGGATATCATGCAGCCTTTTAAAATTAATGTGGAAGAATATTTAATGATGTGAAAAGTCACTGATTTCCAACTGTGTACTTTTCTACATGACTGTTATACTACGATTAAAAGGTTACTCTAAAAAAATAATAATATGGCCACTATCATTTAGTGTGTGGTTTTAGTTTATCATTTAGATGTGTGGTTCAGATTTTCAGCATACGGGATGCCAGTAAAAAGTGACCGTCAAAGCACCAAATGATGGGCCATAGTTACCTCAAATTTGGTTATTTGGCCCTTGGTTATCCCCCTCCCCCACCCACTCCATCCACATTTCCAAACTGAGGCTGGGGAAAGGGGAGAATTAGTATAATTAACAAAAGAGGCCAAAATTATGAACATCACGAAGGAGGAAAATAAGAAAGAAAAATGAAATTGATGAATTATAAATTGTCTAAATATCTCTTGAACAACCCAAAATTTACTCTATGAAATTTTTACTTATTACTCAATAAGTAAAATTATAATAAAAGATGTTCTATTTCTTAACCTTGGTGAGGGTCCATGAGTATGTTCATTTTGAGATGATTTACCGAGCTACATGTACTTTTCTGTATCTATGTTAACTTCAATAAATACACCTAAAATCTAAGTATTGAGAGGTAAATAGGGTTACAATTGCTTTGCATGATCTGGATCCCATTTGAAGAAAACTTTGGAAGAGTTCATATCTAGTGAAAGCAAGAAGAACTCAAGTTTAAAGATTTATTCCTTAAAGTGAAATTACAAAAACAAGTTGTCTGAATGGATATATGACTAATAATTTCTATTTAGAGAACTTAATAGATATGACTTTACTGTGATTAATGCAATTGTCAGTCCTTTCCAATAGGAATTTCTGTCATGACGGAAATATCCTATATCTCCATTGTCCAATACAGTAGCCACTAGCTACCTGTAGCTTTTGAGCATTTGAAGTGTGGCTGGTGTGATTAAGGAACCGAGTTTTTAATTTAACTTAATTTAAATTTAAATAGTCATATGTGGCAAGTGGCTACAGAATGGGACAACACAGCTAGAGTAAGCCAACTGAAACCAAATATTTAGCCTTCATTTTCAAGTTAATAAAGTTATACCTACTGAAAAAAAATTGAATTCCACTCTGGGCTCCAGGTTACCGTGTCTGAAGTGCCTCGTTACTGCCAAGACCTGCATGGTTGACCGTTTACTCCCTGAGAAAAGAAAACTGACATTGCTTATAAGTTCAAAATGACACTGCCAGTGAGCTTTACTTTCAAACGGAACAATTGCTTTCTAGTTAAAAGGGCTCCTCAAAAGGTCTAAAGATTAGCTGTCATGAAAATATATTTTGCCACTATCTTTCTCTCTCTCTCTCTCTTTGTTTAAAGTAATAACGGGCCACAACTACTAGAAAGTTATTTAAATTTTCTTGAAAATTTTGGGATGACAATCACATTGTCCCTGTTTAAGGCTCCATGAAGCTAGAAATTTGGGTATAAACAGCCAACTTTCCAATTAGGCACACATCATTTTTACTCTAGGATGGATCATTTCTCTATTACCCCTGGAACTTTACATAAGCAACTTCCTCTCCCTATATTTCTCTGACATTTTGACAATTTCAACTAGACCTTCAGAATGCAGAGAGCAAGTCTCCCAAACACCTTCCATAATATTCACCATTTGATTTTGTCTCTCTACTATGACCTACTCTGTTACAGAGTAGTATGGAATAGTTAATAGCGTATTGTAATGCCTATTTAATTTTCTGTCTTCATCATCATCTACAAGCATATGAGATCAAGGGCTGTATCTTATTCACTGTACATAAATAGTTTATTAATATTTGCTTGCTAGAATGAATGAAATAAATCACAAGGATCACTAAGTTAACAAACATAGAGAAATGAAAAACAAAGAGCAGATATTAATTGTATTTAAATTCATTTGAACAAACAACACGCTCCTCTCTAGTGCCCATGGCACATGTCATTTTAGAGTCCTCTTAATGTGTACTATCGAAGAACATGATTATGTACATGAACTCAAAAGGGAGAGCTCAAAAACAAGAGAAGGGTAATAGATTACAAGCTTATTGCAAAAACTATAGGCACTGAAAATTAGAGAGTTACAAAAGAACACTTTGTAGGTTTGAGTCTATAAATACCTTCAGATAGAACAAGGGTCAGCCAAACTTCTTAAAGGGCCACATAGTAAATATTTTAGGCTTTGTGGACCATAAAGTCTCAGTCACAGATTCTTTTCTTTTCTGTTTGTTTGGGTTCTTTTTGGGAGGGGAACAACCCTGTAAAAATTGTAAAAACCATTCTTAGCTTACAAGTTACAGGAAAATAGGTTGTGGCTTACAGATCAGAGTTTCCCTACTCCTGACATAAGACTAACATTATTGATGTGAACACTTAAATGATTTGTTATTCTTTGCCTCACTGAAGAAAACTGGTACATATGGATAATATAGTTCTGAATTTGAAATTCTACGTTACAAAGCAATGACCAATTCTATTTCATAGTCAGTTTGAAAATGATATGTTGGATCATGTTGATCTAGAATTTGGATACTCCCACAAATCTGAGTCTTCACCTTCCATGTTTAAAGAGGAAAATAGTCAAGATAATTTAATCAATACAATGTCGACCCAGTTGCAGATGTGTTGTGTTTGCAGATGGCAATCTGTAGGAAATGGCCCAATTAATAAAGCCTGACATTTGATAACACCAGGAACCCACATTCCATAGGTTGTTGAAAATATGGAAAAATGCAAATTGTCTACAGAAAAGGACATTTTCCTGTAGGCCCAAAGAGGCTCATTGAACTAGAAGAACCCCTCCCCGGAACATCTCATCACCACTGCTAGCTATGAAAGATATTGCGGCTCGTGTCCAAATTTTGTTTTTCTTTTGATTTAGTTATTCTCCACATTAGAGAAGTGAATGCTTTAAAAGGGAGGCACTGTGCCTTTTCTTTGTTCTGCTTCTAAAGTTAGTGTTTTATTCTCCAAATTATATGTGATTAATAGATTTTTTTAAAAGGTGAACACAATGTTATGCCTTATAAATGCCAAAAAAGATAATTATTTCTCCTCTCTCTGGCTTATAGAGTGAATTAGTCATTTACATGTTCTTTGTAGCTGCATCTTACAGGCTTAAGAATATCAACTCACTAAGAAGCACTTAGAATGTACCCATTATCTCAAACCTCCAGACATAGCCAGTGCTTGTATATTTCAAGTACAGAATAGGCAGTCTCCTAGAGAACTTTAGTTTTTCAAGAAACACTATAAAATGGTTCTAAAATAACACCTTAATTTTGAGGGAGGGAAATGTCTAGGAAAAAAATACAGTGCTACCCACAGAATAAAAAAATAAAGTGGCTAAACAGAAATCAATCTTTTTTTTCTTCTAGATTGCTAAAATTGCTAAAGTGGTTAAGGTAGCATATAATTTTTCTTTTTGAAGAATTTTGTCCAGTCTGACAAGTAAATAAATGTTTAACTCTCTCTCTCCTTTTATTGCTGCAGAAACAAGAAGAAACGGAAAATAACTGCAGCACATTTACCACATATTAGTTTCTTTCTCTACATGAAACACACAATGCGAACACGTTATAGATGAATTGTACCTTCGATTGAAGAGAGGACGGTGGACTAGCTTCGGTTTTGTGGAATTGGATAATTTGTCACAGTTTCTGGCCCTGGAAAAATGACAACCCAAAGGAAAACTAGTAGAAAGACTTTTTTTTAATAGTGATAAAATATAAAACTGATATTTTTGGTGCACAGAAGTATTTTAAAATAATAATTTTTAAAAATTACTAAGTTATAAGGAATGCTGTCATCATCAATGATTGCCTACAGAGTTTCATGTTTCAACACATACCAGTTTTTATACTTCAAGCAATGTCATTTACCAAAAAATCAGTTTGAGATTACTTCATGGTTAACCCTCATTCTTGTCTGACAACTTATTATCATTAATTATTATTATTATTTTTGAAATAAATATGAACTATTAATGAAAGTGTGCTTTTATTATGGCACGTATACTTTTGAACTTCATTTTCCTCCTATACCTTGCCATCTATAATATGCCAGCACAGTTAAAAGACTATTTAAATATTAATTACTCCTATTACAGGAGAGGAAAGTACAATAGGTAAGCTTTTCCAAACCTGAGCAGCAAAACGTAATCAATTGATGTCCACTGATGGAATTATGGTAATGAATTATAGATCCCAGTTTGGTTACTAGAAACATATTTTCCAAAAGATACAGAAAAAGAATTTATTTCAGAATGTTGATAAAAAGTGTTCTAAATTGAAATTTGAAAATGATGCCAAAAAGCCATACTGATTTTTTCTTCTTCAGATAACAGTGAAGATCTATTGAGACTCTTTTTTTAAAGATTTAAAACATTCTTCTAAAATGCATGGTTTTGTATTCAATATCAGTTCGGCTAGAGAGGAGATTATGGAGAATCTTGGTACAAGTCACTTTCTACTCTCTTTTCTCTAAAAGATTAATAAATCATTAGGTTACAAGATCTAAGAAATCTGGGTTTTATAAACAAAGATTTCTGGATTTAAGTTATTCAGATAAAGAATTGTGCCTATAATACATTGGGTTATTTCAATATGTCCTAGCATGGCCATTTGGGAAATTATTGAGAAGTATAGGTTTTCTCAGTTCAGTTAAAATTTAAAGATTTGGTATATATACTTTTGATAATTATTCTTTGATTTTTTTGGTCTCTGTCTCATCCGCTAATGAAAACTGATTAAAACTACACCGATCTCGACGAAAACACTGATATTCAATGATTTCTTCAATACTCTTTGGATACAACTTGTTCTAATTTTCTCATTGCTAAAATTAACCCTGGGCCACTTCACTCCTGTGAAGATTAAAATTACTTTTGGATACATTCATTAGGTATGTTCTATATTTAGGGTACATAGTCAAAATCCTTTTTTTTTTATATATTTACAAACCATCTTTAAGTATATTTTGGTTCTAATTATCAAATTAACTACTTATGCTCTAAATAATGCCAATAAAAAATATTGCTTAAAAATGTTAATTTAGATCAGCGGTAATTGACCTATGGCCATGTGCTGGGCGACAAGGAAGCTGAAATTTAGCCTTTCCTCGCAAAAGGCATACAAACATAAGAGATATCTAATGTCACAAACCAAACATCTATTGTATTCTGATAGCAGCACCAAGACATTTACTTTGCACAAACCCTCCATGTCATCGTCCCCAAATTTTAGTCTGTATAAGCTATATCTCTTCTCTTCCGAAGGAGCAATAAGACTGAGACCTCTAGGGAAACAAGCACTTTTCTCTCCTCTCCTCTTCATCATCCATCGACTGTCCTAAAATTTGAGACTGGTGCTGGGAACAAAAGAGAAAATCGTGAAAAAAACTTCTTATTCCTTCCTTTTCCCAAATACTCCAAATATAACATCTTTGTTATGTTACTTTAGTCAACTTATATCACCCCTATTGGTGGGACAGGTTAAAAATACGCTTGGTAGAGATAATTGAAATAGAATCATAAACTAGACATCACTCAGTCCAATCTTCAATTGTGAGAAATCCTCCACAAAATATTCATTATGGGGTCGAGACACTCTGGACACTCCAAGCAATGATTTAACTTTTCTTCATGGAAAGCAAATAGGAATAACCAAACATGACATTTTTTCCTTTAACGAAGAAGCACATGTTTTGACATGGGTACACCTTTCTAGAAGATAGATCTCATGTATTGTTCCAAAGAGAAAGAACATTTGAGTTTTGTAGAAATCCTTTGAAAAATCTCTCTTTGATTAGAAATGATGTTTGCCTCCTTTTAAAATATTTCTTATACAGGATAAAGAGAAATATGCCTCCTAGGATACCAAACATGGTAAGAGAGTTGTGATTCTTTATTATTAAGGGTCCTTAGGAAACATTAGAAATGGGGTTCCATCACTTTCCTTTTGACCTTGGTACTGTACCCTATAAGACATACAAAACTCCCCTGTAAGGCAAAGACACCTCTCTGATATCTACCAACAATCATCAGAACAATGTAGGTTTTAGTGCTAAAATGGATAATATTACAAAGGATTTCTCCTTCAAGCAGAGAGTTTATAGAAGTAGGAAAACATCCATTTATTGCTTGGTGCTTTATTTGAATGGAATTTAAGGTCAATTCAAAGTGTAGTCTAACATAAAGAGGGGAGGCAGCCCCAAGTTTCCGGAAACTAAACACTTTCTCTTTCACAAACGAGAAAGTATAAATGAGAGGTCTGATGAGGATAGCTCCCCATTTCCCCACGTCTAGTTTATAATCTCTCAATGACCAGTGAAATATTTGGCTTTAGAATTGTTTAAAATATACCAAAAATATTGAGCCATTCTGGAAAAAGCAAGTTTAACTAAAATTTTTTAAAGTAAGCATTTTTCAGATGATAACCTAAAGAAGATGCTTAGTTTTCCACTGAATACAATTTTTTTCTCTACACATGACTGCTAAGCAAACAATTACAACCTCAGACTGATATCATAGAAAGAAAGTCTCGTGTTCAAGAGAAACTATGGTCACCCTGTGCTGTGAGGGAGACTAGAGTAAGAACACACCTAAAACAAAATGTGAATTCTAGAAGTAAATTTTTAAAAACAGAACTACCCATTCTTATCCCAGCCCCAAGATTCTCTCACCTCGAGTCTTTCCTATTCCAGGTAAGGACAATAGTGTCCAGCCAGCTACTCAAATCCTCAAAGTAGGAAGCATCTAATTCTCCTCTTTCAATCATCATACACCTCAACTCATAAGTTTTGTGTAACATCTGAGCTTGCATTATCATAACGTTAGAACAAAATGGGTGATCACTGATACATCTCATGAGTCTATTTATGTACATGGTTCTCACAGCTAAGTACATTAGGTATATCATTATTAAGTCTATGATTCTTGTTAAGATTCCCATTTTACAATCAGAGTTCTGTTTTCATCTATAACTTCTCTAAAATAGTCATGTTCAGAAATTACTTTAGAAGATATCTGTTTAAATTTGGCAGGCTTGGTATAATATTTTTAAAAGGTATCACAAAATAAATGGTAGATTAATTTAGTCTTTGTAAATTAATTGTGTCTTATTTAATGTTCATGATTTAATATTTTAAATGTTAATAACTTACACAACAAATGTGATACTCTATAATCAATTAATGTTGTATGAGTAGGAAAAGAGCTTGCCCAGATACTGGTCTGGAAATATTCGATCATTACCTTAATTGAACAATGAATCACAATATTCTAAATATTTAAACTGCATTTTTGCCAAGATGCAATGTTTACTTTTCCTTGTCAATGAAGTCTGTTTTCTTCTTCCTTGAAAAGACAAAAAAAAATGAACCACTCCAATTTATGAGTCAGAAGCTAATCATTTTTGAAAGATAGTTTTAGAATATAGCTTCCAGTAGGTTTCCTCTAAAAATTAATGAGTTACAATCTCTCAGAACCTTAGTCACTAACGCATACACTTCTGAGAACAGTGGCAACATATGAACTTGCTTGGAAACACTGATTGATATCTTTCATTATTGACAAACCAATTCTATTGTGCACCAGTGTCTGAAATTTTACTAAAAGGCTTGTAGAAGCTCAAAAATTGATGATTAGAACAGCTAAGAAATTTTCTCTTCCACCTGGAAGACATAATGTTCTTGGTGCTGAGATATAATATGAATCATTTGACTTTTGAATTTGTAATTGTATTGGCAAAATTGACTCTAGTTGTTTCGCAGAAGAGTCCAGAATTTTTCAGGGGAATTGGTGTCATATGGAATGAAATGTGTTAAAGTCATGTTATTAAATACAGGATTTGGGAGAAACAACTTGACAGTAGCTCGTGTGAAAAAGGCATGGGGGTTCATTTGACCATGAGAGCAGTATGAGACATTGGTGAGACATGAGTTAACAGATAACTTTCAGGAAAAGATAAAACCATGACTCTCATACAGATATAAAAATCAACATGTGTTAAAGATTTTATTTTACTCATATGATATGAGGGACCCAGGCAGATGTTCTGATTCAAAGGGAAAGTCAAAAGAGCAAAAATTCACATGGAGTAAAGGAATATTAAAATGAATTGCAAATGGAGACAAAACTGTTTTTTCCACAGAAAAGAGGAAGTTAATTAAAATCACTACTGGATACAGAGGAATTTAAAAATCTATCAGTTACTTACAACTTGCAAAGACTTACAGAATAGCCCAAAGACAGTGAATAGAGCTAGAATCTGATAACCAGGAAGGGTAACCGAAGGAGGATGCATAGTTTTCCACTGAATACAATTTTTTTCTCTACATATCACTGCTAAACAACCAACCACAACCTCAGACTAATATAATAGAAAGAAGGGTTCATGCCAAGGGAGACTATAGTCCCCCTGTACTGTAAGGGAGCTCTAGAGTAAGAACACACCTAAAGCAAAATGTGAACTCTGGAAGTAAATTTTTGAAAACAGAACTATCTATTCTTACCCCAGCCTCAAGACTGTCAGCCTTACCCTGAGTCTTTCATTTTTCAGGTAAGGACAATAAGATCCACCCAGTTACTCAAATCCCCAAACTAGGAAGCATGTAATTATCTTTCAGTCACCATACACCCCAATTCTAAAAAGGGCAATGCATCATCAAGTTCTGGCAGTTGAATAACTTATCCTTAATTGATCTATTTTCAATTTCCCCTATACCAACCTTACTTTGAAAATTATAGTTTTCTTTTGGTTTACTGGATAACCCCTCACTAGTTTCCACTCTTCCAACTCTACTCTTGCTTTCCTACAATCCATTGTTCATAAAGCGAGTCAAAGAAATCTTTTTAAAACTGCATATCAGATCAAGTTCCCTCCATGCTTAAAACCAATAGATATCATTAGGATTCAGAATAAAATGCAAATCCTTCCCTACACACTAGAAGGACCCATAAAATCTGTCTCTGCCTGTGTCTCTAACTCCATTCTTCCCATTTTCTGCCTTGTTCAATTTAGTCCATATTTACTGAAATGCCTTCATCCTTTGAACACAACAGACTGGCTCCTGCTTTGCACTATCTTTTTCTTTTATTTGGCTCCCTCTTGCCCCAGATTTTTGACTGTCTGGCTCTGACTCCTTTTCTGTCATTCAAAGGTAACTTCCTCAAGGAAGACTTCTTGCCCCATTCAACGTAATATAATGCTCCAGGAAACTTTTATTTTTCAAATCTTCTTTATGCAAAATTTATTTCTTGGTCTACACAGAAGTTGAAATATAGTGATGTACACCTAAAAAAACAGGGAAAAAAGAAATCTATTGCTGAATAAAATTTAAAATTATTTAATTTCTTGACTATCACTTATTTCCTCTGCCCTAATATGCAAATTACCTAAGATCAGGGATCTTATCTTTCTTGTTCATGGCTGCATATAAATACACAGAAAAGATTCTGATACTGTTGGGCCTCAGTCAATACTAGTTGAATGAATGAATTAATACTTTTCTTCCCTCGGGGAAATAGATAAATTTCTGGGTTTTTTTTTTTTTGGAGGACGATGAGTTGAAAGTTCTAGAATTCACAGCAGATAGATTCATATCTATTGAGAGGAAGTTTGATTTAGAGAAAAGAGTAACTCAGAAGATGTTCAGGGATGGTTAGCTTTAGGGGAATGAGCAAGAACAGGCAGAATTATTTTCTTAGGTCTGTTAGCATCTAATTCAAGAAAGACCAGCAGGAGTTTATTTTGAAGGGGTCAGATTAAAGTCCATGCGGGGGGAATACTCTAGGTTTAACACTGATAGTAAGAGAAGCTGCCCTACATAGCAGTGAGAGCTGGAATGGCTGACTACAGTTTAGGCTGAGTGTACATCAGATAGACAAACATCAGCTCTCTAATTTTTAATATGGAGATAATAGTCTCATAATCTTGCTTATTTTCTATTTAGTTGTATAGATCCAAGGAGATTATTTCCAAGCATACATTTTGGAAAATGAAATCATATGCCACAAGAGGCATCATTGTCATTAAATCTACCACTTAACCTCCAGATCTCCATTTCCTCATTTAAACAATCTATCACAAAATACCTCTCTCCCTGCTTTGTGAGTTAGAGGTACAGGAAAAGAAATTTATTTTGCTACTTGTGGTAGCAACACAGGTTGGATTAGAAATGAATGGGATGGAAGGATTCTATTGATTTAGTTTAACCCTGCAACTGGATAAACAAATGTGCAGAATATCTAGAGTGGAAATTTATGCCACCAGTTAACAGTAAAGGTAAGTATATATCATTATTTGAGAATACTCAATTATTGCCAAGTTATGGCTCCAGCCAAAACATCATCAAATTCACTATAATTATTCACATATCTACTGAAAGGTTTCTTCATTGCCTCATGCTTCCTGCTTTGACTGATGGCCCTCCACCCAGCCTAACCACTATCACAAACCGTATGTTGGCTTAGGCAAGAGCAGACCTTCATAGCTCATTTACTTGATTCTCTCTCACCATAAATCCTTATTTTTCTTTGTTTCTAGCAATAATACCCAACAATGTATTAAGAATAGTTACCATTGATTGAATGATTGCCAGGTGTCAAGCACTGTGCTAAAAACTCAATAAGCGTTAATAATAGCTAACATTTGTGACAGATGCTATTACAAGTGCTTTGCAGGCATTGACTCATTTACTTCTCAAAAAATCCTGTGAGGCAGATAATATTTTCCCCACTTTACAAATGAGTAAATTGAGGCACAATATATTCCAGAACATAACAGCATTCACAGAACTGGTAAGCGGTGAAGCCGTGATGGACGTTCTAAAGTCTTGCCACACTGCTGAAAAGTAGATATTGTCTTCAACATAAAGATATCAAGATTAGGGCTCAAAATGCTCAAGTGACTTGCCCTATTTGCATAGTCCAAGACTATTTGAGAGACAAAGGACTCTATTAAAGTAACTAGATTAGGTCCAAGATGGAGTTGCTCATGCTAAGTCCCACGTCAGCAAACCAAAACTAAGTTTCTATGCTCAGCTCTCTCAGAAAAGGAAGGCCTCGGCTAACCAACCAGGCTTGCCTGCTCAGCACAAGTTACCTGACACAGCTCCAAGACTTCCCTTTGCTCCATACAAGGAAAATAATCCTGATTTAACCAATCAGCAAATGCCCAGTATGACTTTCTGTTCCTGCTCACTTTAGTCTATAAAAAAATCTCTCTCTTTGTACAGCTCCTCAGAACTCCTTTCCATCCTCTAGGTTGGATGCTGCCCATTCATGAATTACTGAATAAAAGTTATTAGATCAGTAAACTGTAGAAAATTTTCTTTTAACAACTCTATGGTGATCCTTTCCAAATTTATGCCCTGGGCTCTTCCACATACCTAATGAGCTTTATATTGTGAAAGGACACCATTACTTCAGTCTCCTCAGGAAAGTGGCTCCTCAGGAAGTGTCTAATCATTTCATAAGGGAAACCAAGGCTAGAATCATCAAGTGTTTCCCAACAGATAGTACCAAAGAGTAGAGTGTTTTAATTCAAGCTAATCATTCATTTTAATCACTATATCTCGGGGGCAAATACTCAACAGGCTGTGTGGGAATGACACACATAGGTTCCATTAAAGTCATGACAGGATCTGTGCAGGAAGCTCCTCTCACTCCTTGGAAAACAATTCCCCTGCTCCCTTTCTAGTGACTATCAGCATCTAAGATGTCTGCCCTGCCTTGACACTGCATTCCTGTTCTGAGACGTGTTTCTAGAAAAAAGCTTAAAAAGAGTTCTTGGAAGTAAGGCTCATGAACCCCCAGGGTATCTAAGGAAGAGAAAACTCACAAGTTAATCCAATACATGGTTTGTTTCTTCCTTTTTCTCAGAGTTAATAAAAATTGAGTTGTCACAAATATGAGAACTGAATATTCAAAATAATATTCTTGAATCATATTACCTTAAAAAATATATATGATAGAAGACCCCCTTGTGAATTTGTCAAACGATAGAAAGTTATTAAATATTGAGGTAGCTTTATTTTATTTTTATTCTAAAGATGTTTTGTGATTCCTGCCAAACCATACCCTCTGCTAAAAATTGTTCTGACTTTCTTCGAGATGAGTAATAATAGGTCCTTGTATTATACCTCACAGCTGATACCAGGCTAGGTCATACCTGTTTGGACTGGACAAAGGAACTTGAATCTACAGGTTGGCAAAAGCCTATCTTCTGTGGAGCCTAGTTCAAAAATAGGCTTCACCAATCATATCTTTTCCTGGGGATCTGGAAGGGTGTAATTGAGAGATTAGACAATTAGAAAAGGTAATAAAAGAGTGTTCAAGTATAAAGGCAATAATTAAT